CACAGGACCTCCTTCTATCCTGCTCCCTGGTCTCCTCCTCCCATGCATGACTGCAAGACTTCTCCAGGTCCTCCCCTATTCTCTGGAACTCACTGCCCCAATCCATCCGAATGTCGCCTTCCCTCCCCACATTTAGGCGCTCCCTCAAAACCCATCTCTTCAGGAAAGCCTACCCCACCCCTCACCTCACACAACGGCCATTCTCCCTCATTCCTCCCACCACTTCATCCCCCTCAGCCACTTCATTCCCCTCAGCCACTTCCTATTGTTCCACTACCCCCTCCCTCCTAGATTGTAAGCTTGAAAGAGTAGGGCCCTCTTACCCCCTGTACGCTGTCTCTTTTTGTTGTACTGTGCCATGTATTGTCCCTTCTATTGTACAGCACTGAGCAAACCCTTTGGCGCTATATAAACTCGATGTAATAATAATAATAATAATAACTGACCAGATCAATATCCCAGGAGTTTAATTGACTTGATGCTATACTCTGATTAAAAAGTGTTCCTTTAATTTTTTTGAGCAGTGTATATTGGGAGGAGAAATGGTAGAATGAGAAACAAAGAAAATTTAATTGTTCATGTAAGATGAAATTTTATGAATTCCCAATGGTTTAGTGATACCCAAAATATCTTGGTTGGCCTGAATGGTACATAGGAAGAGTTCAAGGCTAAGGGGATGATGAGGGGTGAAATTGAATATCCCTTCTGTGTGCCATAAGAAATGGTCAAAAAGTCAGTTCTGGTCCCCTGTACTATGACCGCTGCTTTTGGTCAGGAATGCAGTGCTGAATTCCGTTTTAGTTATACTTTTTCCCAAGTCAATATGTTGCATGGTGGCCAGCATAAATCGACAATCAACCCTTTTAAATGTTTTCTCCGCATCTGTCAAAAGAAGTATCAGTGGCTGGGCTAAAGCTCTGGTTGGGTGGATGATATTTGGGACCCTGAGAATATATAAATAGCCTAATGTCTATAGTAACATTCAGTAACCTTGAGGTGCTTTAGAACATACTGTACTGTATATGCACAGGTTACCAAAATAAACCAGTTCAGGTTTAATGAGACATAGTTAAAGTATATGTAAACCCTCACCTTGTAAAACAACCTATTCAGTTTAAAATAGAAATGAAAGGCAAAACATTTGTGTATAGATATAAAAAAAATTCTAAATACAGTGGTACCTCAGTTTACGAACGCCTTGGTTAACATAATTTTCAGTTTACAAATGAAAATCCATTGAAAATGATGCCTTGATTTACAATTTTTTTACGCAATATGATGCAAGTTTCCCCAGGATGCATTGCACCTGGGAGGTTTATAGTGCCACCCTCGTGCATGTTGGAGTCTGTGGGTAGCACGTGGCGTCGAGTGTGGAGGTGTTGGAGTGGTTTTTTTGCATTGAGTTTTGGAGCCATTCTAGAAATTATTTAACATGTCCCTGTACAGTATTTATGCCTTTAAAGTACACTTTATAAAGAGTTTTGAACAGATAAAAGACTTTTTATCAACTTTTTTCTGACCTCTGGAATGTATTAATTGGTTTTCAATGCACTCCTATGGGAAAGCGCGTTTCAGTTTATGAATTTTTCGCAATACAAAACGTCCCAGAGAACGCATTACATTTGTAAACCGAAGTGCCACTGTATATTTTTTCTCCTTTTTTATAAGTCATCACATACTCTTTGTTTTCAGCTGCATAAGGATAAGGAGCTCAGGAAGGAGAAACAGCAGTATGCTGGTCTTCCCAGTGAATGGCTGTGTAGGGGGGGGGGTGTCAACACAAGCCTGATCATGGTGCTCACAAAATAGATTTATATCCTTTGTGAAGGTTGAGGAATAATGTTTAATCGAGCATGTTTGTGCCTAGAGTTCAGCTTTAAGGTTGTCAACAAAAAGTCTACTGTACACTTTGTATGTTTAGAAACAAGTGACTATTTTTGGAATGTCAACTTCCCAGTGTGCACTTGAGCTCAGTGCGATCATAGTGTCACCAGACAGCAGTGTAGTTTGTGGCAACGATCAACATCTACACAATCAAAACATCATTTGGTAAAGCCTCTGGATGACCATAACAGCCTGGCAACTAGCATCTTTTGAATGCCAGCAATAGAAAACAATATATTTCTCTGTTTACAGAACCTACAAAACTGTATGTTCTTTATTATGTTTCTTATCATACAAAAAAGAAAAAGCCTCTTTGTCAGTGTGTGTCAGTGTAAAGGTTGTTTTGTGACTTTCTAATTGATTAGAAAGGTTTGTTTCTAAGGAATGGGTGTGTGTTATGTTTGAAGGAAAAAGGCAACCTTTCATTTTTTATGACATTTGCTTTAATGAGGGGTTTTCTTTACAATGTAATTCACGTTTAGGAAAAAAGTGTACTGTTCAGATGGTATCTGTTAGGATCAAAGTGTTTTTCCATTTAAACTGCACACAGATTAAAGTACATGTAAACCCTCGCCTTGTAAAACAGCCCATTCAATGTAAAATAGAAATGAAAGGCAAAACATTTGTGTATACATATAAAAAATATTATATATACACCTTTTCTGCCCTTTTATAAATGTGATCACATTCTCTCTAAACTCAACTGCATAAGTAGGTCAGAGGGCTATAGGGGGGAGAAACAGCAGTGCACTAATCTTCCTGATCTATGAGGAGGGGGGGGGGGCATGTAAAGACAAGGCTCATTATTGGGGGAGAGCAGGCTGAGTTCTCAGCACAACTAGAAAACTGACTATGCTGTACTCTTATGCCTAATGTGGTCAGTTTTTAAATAAGCAAGTACAGGAACTGGTAGGTACAGCAATAAAGAGAGAACAGGATACATTTTCTTACAAGTACAGCAGGCACATATCAGGAATCTGAAATGTTGGGTTTGCATACTTTTTACCTATATGATTCTAGTTAACTTTTGTGTCCTACAGTTGCAAGAAAAAGTATGTGAACCCCTTGGGATTACGTGGAGTTTTGCATGAATTGAGCACAAAATGTGCTCTGAACGTCATCTAAGTCACAACAATAGAAGAACACAGTCTGCTGAACATAATACTACACAAACATTAGATGTTGCCATGGTTTAATTGCACATAACATGTAAACATTCACAGTGCAGGGAGGAAAAAGTATGTGAGGACCTAGCTTAATGACTTCTCCCAGAGCTAATTGGAGCCAGGAATGAGCTAACCTTGACTCCAATCAGTGTGATGATACTGGATGTGTTGCTGACAGCTGTCCTGCCCTTAAAAAACACATACCTGTTTTGGGTTTACTGGTTTCAAGAAGCACTGTCTGATGTGAACCATGCCTCGCAGAAAGGAGCTCTCAGAAGACCTACGATCAAGAATTGTTGACTTGCATGAAGCTGTAAAGGGTTACAAAAGTATCTCCAAAAGCCTTGATGTTCATGTGTCCACGGTAAGACAGACTGTCTACAAATGGAGAAAGTTTAGCACTGTTGCTACTCTCCCTAGGCGTGGTCATTCTGTAAAAATGACTGCAAGAGCACAGCGCAGAATGCTGCATGAGGTAAAGAAGAATCCCAGAGTATCAGCTAAAGACAGAAATCTCTGGCACATGCTAACATTTTTGTTGACACATCTACAATAAGGAAAACATTAAACAAGAATGGAGTACATGGGAGGACAACCACGGAGGAAGCCATTGCTGTCCAAAAAGAATATTGCAGCACGTTTGAAGTTTGCAAAAGAGCACCTGGATGTTCCACCACAGCACTACTGGCAAAATATACTGTGAAGAGATGAAACCAAGATTGAGCTGTTTGGGAAGAACACAGAACACTATGTGTGGAGAAAAAAAGGCACAGCACACCAACATCAAAACCTCATCCCCACTGTAAAACATGGCGGAGGGAGCATCATGGTTTGGGGCTGCTTTGCTGCCTCAGGGCTTGGATGGATTGTTGTCATTGATGGGAAAATGAATTCCAGAGTTTATCAAGACATTTTGCAGGAAAACGTACAACCATCTGTCCGCCAACTGAAGCTCCGCAGAGGATGGGTGATGCAACAGGACAATGACCCAAAGCATACAAGTAATTCAACAAAACAATGGCTGCAACAGCACAGAATACGCCTTCTGGAGTGGCCCAGTCAGAGTCCTGACCTCAACCCGATTTGAAATGCTGTAGCATGACCTTAAGAGAGCGATTCACACCAGACATCCCAAGAATATTGCTACACTGAAACAGTTTTGTGAAGAGGAGTGGTCCAAAATTACTCCAGATCGTTGTGCAGGTCTGATCTGCAACTACAGGAAACGTTTGGTTGAGGTTATTGCTGCCAAAGGAGGGTCAACCAGTTATTAAGTCCAAAGGTTCACATAGTTTTTTTCCTCCATGCACTGTGAATGTTTACATGTTATGTGCAATTAAGCCATAGCAACATCTAATGTTTGTGTAGTAGTATGTTCAGCAAACTGTGTTCTTCTATTGTTGCGACTTAGATGACGTTCAGAGCACATTTTATGCCCAATTCATGCAAAACTCCACGTAATCCCAAGGGGTTCACATACTTTTTCTTGCAACTGTAAATGGTGGTTGGCTGTCTTGTTACATTGGGATTACAGCAAAAACATGTTTGTAGTTATGCATAGAGTCGGAGAAAGTTAAAACCCTCTGTGATCTCCATTGCTGTTGTTTTAACCACGTGACGGTGGTCACCACGACAGGAAGTGAGGGGAACTATCTCCTGGAAAGTACACAGACAGTAATAAACTTGCTGCCAGAACCATTTAACCACTAGCCTACAGGGCACTTATACCCCCTTCCTGCCCAGGACAATTTCCAGCTTTCAGCGCTGTTGCACTTTGAATGATAAATGCCCGGTCATGCAACAATGTACCCATATGAAATTTGTATCATTTTTTTGTGACAGAGCTTTATTTTGGTGGTATTTAATCACATCTGGGTTTTTTTATTTTTTCTTAAACAAACCAAAAACCACTGAAAATTTTGAAAAAAAAAAGTTTTTTCTTAGTTTTTGTTATAACATTTTGTAAATAAGTGATTTTTCTCCTTCACTGATGTGCGCTAATGAGGCTGTAGTGATGGGCACTGATAGGCTGCACTGATGGACACTGATAGATGGCACTGATGAGGAGGCACTGGTAGGTGGCACTGATGGGCATTGACAGGCATCACTGATGGGCACTGAAAGGCAGCACTCATATATGGCACTGATAGGCGGCACTGATAGGCGGCACTGACTGGCACTGATAGGCTGCACTGACTGGCACTGGTAGGCAGCACTGACGGGCACTGATGCACACTGATAGGCGGTACTGACTAGTACTGATAGGCGGTACTGACTGGCACTGATAGGCAGCACTGATAGATGGCACTGACTGGCATTGATAGGTGACACTGAAAGGCAGCTCAGATGGGCACTGATATGTGGCATTGATGTGCAGTGGTAGGCACTGAAATGTGACACTGATGTGGCACTGATGGGCACTGGCAGGTGGCATGGATGAGCACTGACAGCTGGCACTGATGGACACTGACAGGTGGCACTGCTGGGGCTACACTGATCATCAGGGCACACTGATCATCAGTGCTCTGATGATCAGTGTACATGTCCCCCCTCCGAGGAATGCCGATTACCGGCTCTCCTCTCCTCTCGAGCTGTCAGTGTGACAGATCGCGAGGAGAGAAATGCCGATAACCAGCATTTTCCCCGTTTACATGTGATCAGCTTTGATTGGACACAGCTGATCACATGACCAAGCCGACATCTTCGGCTCTTTCCATTGATTGGTGATCCACTGTGTCCGTGGGACACAGCGCACCACCGATCGCCGCGCTGTGCGCTTCCGAAGCCGCGCGGTTAGAATGGGAGGACGTCATATGACGTCCTCCCAGAACGAGAGAACCACCTTGCGCCCGTCATTGTACTATATGGGGGGGGGGAGGTGGTTAAATTAAAGAATATGTGATGGACTCCTGGTACCCCGATTGGGAATCTCCACCAAGAAGCTGCTTTCCAAGCTCTGGAACACGAAGCAAGCGACTATAGCTGTAGCTACCCCAAAGCATTAGACAACAGCAGTTTTTCGAGTAGACAAGAAGAACTGTTATATTGGACAAACACACTGAATTTATACAGAAAACCATCAGATAAGAGCTAATCATATTAGAGACAATGCCCACCCCAGACAGTCTGGCGCCCAAGGAATACATTATGCATAGAAAGCCATATGTTACAATGATAGTTCTTTCTGGATACCTAGAAAACACAATAAAACACACAGTTCTCTGGGCAATGGTTCTCCTGCAGCCCCAAGTCCGTGACAGAGGATAACAGTGATCAGGACAGGTTTTCTAATCCACTTGATCAACTGTTCTTCTAGACCTGGGGTCTCCAAACTGCGGCCCGAGGGCCAGATGTGGCCCTTTGCTACCCTTTATCTGGCCCTTAGGGTACTATTCCTCCCACTGAGACCAACAATGGGGCAGTACTTCTTCCCATGAAACCAATTAAGGTGCACTATTCTTCCCTCTAATACCAATGGTGGGGCACTACTCCTCCTTCTATTGACCAACAACCCTGAGGCCATGTTTTATTCTCACTGATCCTGGGGCCAGGACATTTTCTATCCTCACTGGCCCTAATCCTGCCCTCCCAAAGTCTGTAGGACAGTTTACTGGCCCTTTGTTTGAAACATTTGGAGACCCCTGCTCTAGACCAGTGACTTTCTATCTAAAGCTAGCCATAGATGAATCTTTTTTTTCCATCATCCAGAAGGCTGATATAAAAAAAAATTGGATTCCTCCATCCACACAAGCAAGGTGGATAGAACAATCCATCTGGTCACGACATTCTGACAGCGGAAATCCTCCGATGTGAGAATACACTAATCGACAGTTGCATTTGTTGATTGATAAAAGTTTTCCAATAATCCTGTTTGACGGAAGTCAGTCTAACAATCAACTCAAATGGGGATAACCATGCATGGATCAAATTTCAGCTGGTCCATGCTGAACCAGACAAATTTTGATCATCTGTTGGACGCTTTCCCACCAGTCTACCGTGTATGCTGCCGTTCAAGAAGCTTTTGTGTGTTTTTTAGAAAAGCTCAATGCTGATTGAAGTACCATGATTGAAAACCACTGTTCTAGACAACAGCTGGTTAGCACCACTGGAGAGTCTTCCATAGGCATGTGCTCATTACCTGATTCAGTGACTTGCATGCCTATGATGATGTTATTCATGGCTTCCTAATGTATATCCTATTGAAGCTGAAATCAGAGCAAAATAAATATTGTCTAATTACTAGACCCATGTGTATTCTTACTTGAATCTGTTATCCTTTGTGTATTTCTTCCTGATATGTGTGGAAATCCACCAGGAAACAAGTCCTGCACTTTAGTAAATAAATAAATTATTGTGCTGCGCTCCCTAAAAACAAAAACAGCATGTGCATATATATCAATTTTCAGAAACATGCAATAACCATCTTAATTGTGTTCCACTAAAAATCCACCCATGCAGCAAAAACATCCCAATATAATACACAAAAAATCCTCATAAAAAAATCACCCATGCATCAAAAAACATCCCAGTGTAATAAACAAAAGTCCTCTTTCCCATAAATCAGCTTCAATCAAATGGATTAATTCCAGGTTTCCAAGTTCCTTATAGCAACACTGCTGCTCTATTATGTGCTCACCTATATCCACAGCCTATCAGGCTAATAAATGCAGTTTATCCCACATGAGGATGAAGGATCCCTTGGATGACCACCACCTTCTTTGGATCTCTCCACACTTCAGTGTTCCTGATTAACCACCTGGACACTTAATCCTCTTCTATGGACATACGGATAAATGGATATAATATGCCTCCTCCACCCCTCCTGGGGAATGAACCTCCTAAAGATTACTCCGTCAATCTCCACATGTATGGTAATAAAGGGAAACAAAGAATAGTGCTTTATCCTTTTAAAACACTTTATTGCAAAACTAAGTTTGCCACACACTCACATTGTAACAGATAAAAACAAGCCCATCAGTAAAAATAGCCATCAGTGTGTATCACACTCTCTCTCAGTACTCGCCGTATCACAGCAAAGCCGATCGAACGCGGTGACGTCAGAGCCCCTCCCCTACGCGTTACGCCTCCGGTCACGTGGCTTCATCAGGGGGAATTCAAATTTTTTTTTTCACATTTTTTTAATTTCATTTTTTTGATTTTTAAGTCCTGCACTTTGCCATTGTGAAGTCCTATAATTAAAGCCAGTCACTAAAGCTGTCTCTCCTTGTGCAGGGTGACTGGTCTTGTATCCACCCCTCCCCTGCAGACTCCTGCAGATAGCCTGACGTAGGTGGGCTTGGTGGGCCCCACTTACAGTTCTGCTCTCTGAATGGGCACAGTAATGATAATACATTTACAAGGTGATATCTGGGTTTCCAAAGACAGTTATTGCACACAATTGTATCTTTTTATCAATATTTTCACCAAAGATTCACACAACTTTCACACATATTTCACATAAGATATAACTGGTTCCCACCCGACTGTCATTTGTCTATAGGCTGTTCTGGGTGGACATCATATGATGTCCTCCCCAGAATTCGCCTTACACGCACCCCGCGGACGCAATCTGTCACTGGCAGTGTTCGGTTGACACAGCAGATGACCGATCAGCGTACCAACTGATGCCGGTACCATATAATCATTATGACCAATCACAACAGATCGCATAGAATGCATGAAGGTAAAAAGCCTTCAGCCTTTACAACTGCTTTAAGTTTCAGAAGCAGGAATCACTAGATTTGTAGTGTGGCAAAACACCTGTGCAAATGATGCTTAAAAGTGCAGGCAATTAAAGTACCTCTGTATAAAAGTGGTAAACAGATGCTGAGAAGGGAAAGGAATTACCGTCTTTAGTTCTTCTGCTGGCAAAGGTTTTATTGTGTTATGGAAACATCATGTTTAGGAACCTATTATCTATTTTGAGTCTCTGTCAAATGCGACACAAACAAACATACATAATAATCTTTATAGTATTAAAAAAACAAGTATATAGTATACCTCCCCTACCCTCCATACTGTTTGATTGTTACCACAGCAGTACGTAAGCCTTTGAGATCATTGGATTTGATAGATGCATTAGTCATTTTGTTATGTCATAACATCACTATTCATGATAATTTTATGTTTAACAGAAAAAACATGAATGTTTGGATTTTAATGATCCAGGGCATAGTATAGTTGGGGTGGGTTTGGTTTAGCAGGTATCACGGGCAAGACATATAGCAGAACTCCAGCTAAATCGCTTTTTGAGTTTTTAATAGAGTGAGAACAAGTAAAATGCTTGTGTGTTTACTGCTGTTTTTGACTTTTGGGGAGGTTCTCTTCTCCATCTGTCCTGGTGATAGATTTCCACTAACTATTTGACCTCATTAAACCCAGGGCATTGCTATAAGCTAAATCTCATGTTTCACTTATATTTCTGTAGAGATGTAGCATCCTCCTAGCTAGGCTGATAGGTACATTTAGTTTTTGGCTCCACGGCAGTGAGTGGAGTGGGTGTTGATTGTGTTGGTCTGATGAAGTGCTAGTGCTACCACTAAGCAAACTAGGCAGCCGTCTAGGGCACACTGCCGCCTAGGGGGCAGCCACGGCCAGGGACACTGATAGGGCAATACACCCAGCCCTGCTTTAACATTAACTATATTTTCCCTGGGCCCCATCAGTTCACCAGAGGGGCCCAGGAGGCAAGGAACAGAGAGGGAATATTTTTTAAATTTCAAGCACAGACAGCTAAAGCCTGCATTTTGCAATGCTGATCCATGATAGCCAGCCGCTGCTGCTTACAGCCTTTCACTAGTGATGATTATCCCTGAGGATGGCGGAAGTCGAGGCTGTAACCCAGCAGCGGGAGATAATTCAACAGAGAGGTAGTGGAGGGCACAGGCAGCAATGGGAGCTCGGTGTAAAAGCAAGCTCACAATTTCTGTTTTCTGAAGCACAGATATAAAGCCATACGCTGCATGCAGACAGACATACAGCATCTTCTGTGCTGTGTGATCATCATCATGACAATGATGATGATCACATAAGCACAGTGAGATGCTTCCTGTTAGTTCTTACTTACATTTGTGTTTGAGGGACATTAAAAATGTTTGGCTGAGCCATACTTTTACCATCCCCCAACCACTCCCCATTATGCTGCAAAGGCACTGCCACCATAGTATGGCAATAGTGGTGGGGTGTTATGTATAACTCCCCTGCTGCTAATGGTGGATGGTAAAAGTGTGGCTCAGCCAAACATTTGTAATGCCCTTCAAACACAAATGTAAGTAAGAGCTAACAGAAAGCATCT